ACCATCAGTGGAACATCTTAAGGTGTTTCAATGCATAGGCTATGTTCATGTTCCTGATGTCACAAGGAAGAAACTGGATGAGAAGAACATCAAGTGTGTGTACATGGGAGTCAATGAATAGTCCAAAGCTTTCTGAATGTACGATCCAGAAACAAAGAAGATTATCATCAGTCAAGATGTAGTTTTTGATGAATTTGAAAAATGGGATTGGAAGAAGTTAGCATACACTAATTCTCTTGATCTTTTGCACGAAGAAAAATAGGAGAATTCAGCTGTTGACAATCAAGTAGATAATGACAATAAAGAAGCAGCCATAAGAGATGAGAGAATTACTGTACTTGAGAGGAGGAAAGGACCACCAGTATGGATGAAAGACTATGAGTTTGGAGCTGGATTATCAGAAAAGGAAGAAGATAGTTTAGATCATCTCACCCAGGAGATGCAACAACTTGATATGTTTGTGTCAAATGATCCCACCACATTTGAGGAAGCAGCCTAAAGTCAAGTATGGAGGGATGTCATGGAAAATGAAATTGTAGTAATTGAGAAAAATGGAACATGGGAATTAACAGATTTGGCACCAGGAGCAAAGAAGATTGGTGTTAATTGGGTACTCAAGACCAAGATACACGAAATGGGGAAATAGACAAATGTAAGGCTCGTCTTATAGCAAAGGAGTATGCTCAACAAGCTGGAATTGATTATAATGAGGTTTTTGAACCTGTGGCAAGATGTGATACCATTCGATTAACTTTGTCCATTGCAGCTAGTCGAGGATGGAAAGTTTATCAACTTGATGTCAATAGTGCTTTCCTACATGGAGAGATAGCAGAGGAAGTGTATGTGGGACAACCGAATTGATGTGAAGTGACAGGAAAAGAAGACAAAGTCTATAAACTAAAAAAGGTTCTTTATGGACTTAAACAAGTTCCTCGAGCCTGGTTCAACAAGATAGAATCATATTTTGCCAAGGAAGGTGTTGGCAAAAGCATAAGTGACCTCACTTTGTTTGTGAAGAAGGAAGGGGGAGTAAATGTTCTTATTGTGAATTTGTATGTAGATGATTTCATTTTTACAGAAAACAGTAAATAAATGCTTAAAGAATTCAAGAGCTCAATGAAAAAAGAATTTGAGATGACTGATCTGGAATGTATGAGATATATTGGCTTGGAAGTCGCAGACATCACATGGCAACACCCAGATTTGAACTGGGGAAAAAGGATTTGCAGTCCCCCGCCTTACCACTCGGCCATGTCGCCAATAAACATATATATGAAGTAGATGAGAATACCCCCCTTTTTTTCTATTGAAAAATTGAAAAACAATTTTGAGACAAATCACAACCGTTAATTATGAATTTAAGAATTATTCTTGAATATTTGAATCTAAAATGTTTTTTTTCTTAATGATATCAGAAAATATAAATTGATACATAACCAATTAGTATTGCTTTTTTATTAAAAAACTTTGTTCATTTCAATTATAACAGCAACAATCAATATATGTAAACCAATTCTTTATCTGTCAGAGAAAATATGTTAATGAAGTACTAAAAAAATTTGTTTGCAAAATTGTTCATCTGTCAAAAATCCAATTGTTCCAGGATGCAAGCTCACAAAAGATGCAGGAGGAGTTAAGGTTGATGCTAGTGCATATAAGCAAATGGTGGGAAGTCTTATGTACCTGACTGCCACTAGACCAGATCTAATGTATGTTGTGAGTTTGGTGGCCCGTTTCATGGAAGTTTTAACAATTATGCATCAAGAAACTGTGAAAAGGATTCTGCGTTATATAAGAGGAACCATTGAACTGTGACCGTTTTACAAAAGAGCAGGAGGTGAGAATTTGGTAGCATTTTGTTATAGTAACTATGCTGGAGATCTTAAAGACTGAAAGAGTATACAAGGGTATATTTTTAAGATATCAAATGAGTTAGTTGCTTGGAGTTCTAAGAAGTAGCCTGCGATGTCACTATCTACCACTGAGGTCTGAATTCATCTTAGCAGCAACAATACAATTTAAGGAGAGTTGTTGGAAAAAGTGTCACTGTGACTCATTTAATTTTAGAGTTAATTATTTGAACTTATTTTCATGGGATAAGATTTATTCTTCCATAACAATAACCATAATATATTTATGGTCCTTCTTTTACGTTTTCTCTATTTTAATATTAACTATATAAAACCGCTTAATTCTACTGAATATAAGAACTTTTACGGTTTCCATTAGTATAAAAAGCTACCATTAGTATAAAAGGTAAAACTACTGTATCAGTTTTTAACAACGTTACAATAAAAGAATATATATATTAAAAAGATAAAATGAAATAAAATTTAAAATATAAACACAAAAGTAGTTATGTAAAAAGGAGATCACTTATATTTTTATCAAGCATATAAGAAGAGAGGAAAAAAAATTGTAGTGTAAAAATTAAAAGGTACAACTAAAGAATAGAGAAAATGTAGTACTTACCAACCGGAAGTTTTAGTCCTTTTTATATGCAAACAAATAGTTAGGTTTAGAAAGTGAATGATTAGGTTAGAAAGTGAATTCTACTTTTAAGCAGAATATCTCACTTTGTACAAGTCTCATACTGTGCTTGTAAAATTTTTGTGAAAGGGGACAAAATCCACAAGTAATAAATTTTATACAACAATAAGTGATTAATTAACATGACAATTGATATTATAACATACTAGTTATTATATATGCATGTCTCTTATTCTAATGGGTCGAACATACTATTCCCTAAAAAAATCCTAATATTCTATTTTAAAATCATTCTTAAAAAAATATATTTAAAAAATAATGTAATTTAATTTTACTAAAGACTAAAAACATGCATGATGAGATATTAAATCACGTTAATTTATTAACTATAGAAACCAAAATAAATAATATTTATAAAAATTGAAACTAAGATTATATTGTTTTTAAAGATTGAAACTATATTTAAAATTGTCTCCCAATAATGATTTGTTTATGAAAGGCCAAAAGAGTAGTGGAAAGAACCAAGGAAGGTTGCTGTAACAGCAAAGGAACAGGAGCCTACTACTTGCAAAGAGAAAGAGAAGACAGTTAGCGAGGTGGTTAAGTATAAAATTGTTAATCATACACATAAACAGGCTTTTGATTGAGATTTGTCTAATTAAATGTTTGATTTGTTCCTCTATGATGCATCTTTCAGGTGATTAAGGAAATGACAAATGGATATGCTTGCTGAATGAGGGGAAAAACTATAACTGGATCACTATTTGGAGGCATCAAACCAAATCTGATATTCCTTTCTTTGCCAAGATGTAGTCAGACAAAGTAAGTGTTACATACGTAAATTAGTAAATATGCATGAAATGGCACTACTTTTGAAATGCATACTTGTGTGAGATGCAGAAGCTTACTTGAAGGAGATCAACAAAGCTTTTGAGTATCTCCTGGAAGGAAAGAGCCTTCCCTGCATTATAAAGATGGATCATTAATTAACTAGAATAAGCTTTCCAACACTTACATGTAATCCTCAAAACTCTCGCATGCGAATAATCTATCCCACTTCCTTGTCTCACATGCTATCTCTCTGCGATTCTAACCAAATCTCCTTCTGGTTCTACCAATGAAAATCTCAGTAGACCCCATATAAAAATTATCCGTCTTTCATAATAATTTCAGCATTTTAGTTATGACATTGCGCATTATCACTGGGATTTGAATCCTTTGGACTGGGAGAGTACAGTGTTTTCTGTTGTTACTCTAAGGGAAAAATATTGGTTTGTGGTGCACTGATATGGTTTATGTGAGTCACAGATTTTATTGGAAACTCATGGATGGATTATCATCCTTTCAAAATTTTTATAATTTTTATATAATTTATAATTTTGATTCTTTAAATTTAATAATTATTTAATATATTTATAATTTTATTTTTATTTTAAAATTCTCATATAATTTATAATTTTAATTCAAAATTTAATAATAATTTAATATATTTATTTATATATTTACAATAATATTTTTTTATTATTATTTATTAATAATATATTATTTAATTCACGTTTAAAAGTACCGCCCTTTTTCCTCTTCTCCTCAGTGGCAAAAGCGGGTTTGGGCCTTGGGTCTCATAATTTTTACCCTGTAATTTGTAAAGAATTAAAAAAAAAAGTAATTATATACTCCAGCTTTAATATTTAAAAGCAACTCGATATTTATTACACAAAATTATTAATTAAATTAAAATATTGTAACAACTGATTATATGACTCATATTTTAATAGTTATTAAGATAATTATTAACATATTAAGTATAGAAATGCTTACATGACTATTAAGATAATTATTTTAATAGTTAATAATTTTGTAATAATAATAATAATAATTTATAATTGAATAAAATAGAAATTGCTTTACCCTATGAATATGTAACCTATTTTCTTTAATTATTTGAGTTTAATAAACTATCAACTACAAATTATTTATTATTACTTGAATTCTACACGTACATATATATATATATATATATATATATATATATATATATATATATATATATATATATTATTTATATTATGTAATTATATAACCATGTAATTTTGCCCTATAACTTCCAAAACACAGTTAGGTAATTAAAAATATTTATAAATAATTAAAAAGCCATATATATATATATATATATATATATATATATATATTATATTATGTAATTATATAACCATGTAATTTTGCCCTATAACTTCCAAACACAGTTAGGTAATTAAAAATATTTATAAGTAAATATCTTTAAATACTTTTTAATTTATATAGTTGAATTTTGTCTTAAAAGTAAAAATTGTTGAAATAAAAAACACAATATTAACTCTAATTTAATATTTACTTTTCTTAAATAAATTAAAAATATAGTAGTATAATAGTATTGTGCATCATTGAAGGGTAGTTATGCGTAATTCAGATTCTTCATCACACTAACCACTATCTTTTCCTTTCCTTATCATTTCTTTGTTTCTCTGTCTTCAATGACACCAATTATTGACAAATCCAAAACTCTGGCTCAGGTTTTCTTTTCTAACTTGTATTTCAAATTTAATTCCATTTACATGTTAGCATGGATCTTCATTTTCGTTTAATGGATCAGCTAGATTATAACAATTTGCATCATTATCGATCCCCTTCTCATGTTTAGAACTATGGAATAGGAATTGAGCCGTCGTATGATTAACGAACATTGCCATGGATAAATGCTTGTCAGGGATAGTGGAATTCCCCGTAGGTAGTAGAATTCTTATGTGTTGTTGAAACAATAACGCTCCATAGATTTGACACTTCGATTATTGGTTTCCTTGCATTGTTGGGTTTTGCAACTATGCATAAACAAAAATACCCCCCCAAAAAAAAATTATTTATCAAACAAGAAAATGATTTACATATAAAAATTTCGTATGACAAACTAATCTGGAGTATCAAATAAGATTTTATATATTGACATATAGTGTAATAGAAAAAACAGAAAAATCGTACGTTTGGTATATACAACACAAGTAGATGGTCTGCCATCTTACACACCAATACAAAGAAGATGATGTTCTTTTAGACATTTCGAGTAATCTTCACGTACATGATATAATATAGTTACAAGTATTGTTTTGAACTGCAGGAATATTTTTTGAAGGAGAATGAGGAGAAATTAGATAAAGGTTCGAGTATTGTGGAAGTCAAAGATGTTGTTGGTAATCAAGAGGCAGCAGAAGAAAAACCACAAATTAAGGTTGTTTTTACTTTGATTTAATACTATCATTCATCTGGAATAGTTGTTTCCAAGATGTGAAACCAATCCATAGTTTTTATTTAGTTACATCATAGACACACTACTTTCGTTTTTCATCCGCATTTGTGCCGTTGGATATTGGTTTTCAGCTTGAGACTGCTCCAGCAGATTTTCGTTTTCCAACTACAAACCAAACGCGGCATTGCTTTACCCGTTACATTGAATACCACCGGTAAGGCCATGATTTTGTCAAGTTTGTTGCTCTCATAATCTGAACAAATCGCTTAGTTCTAAAATAATTATTTTAACCTTCAAAAATCTTATGTAGATGTGTAGCTGCAAAAGGAGAAGGAGCCCCAGAATGTGATAAGTTTGCAAAATATTACCGTTCTCTATGCCCCGGTGAATGGGTATGCTATTAGGAATCCTTAGGATCTGTTTGACCATCAAATTGGTTTATTGATGATATGTATCTTCTGGTTATTGTTTGTTCCTATATTTGATTATGTTGTTACTTTTCATCTTCTTCAAATAATGAGCCCTTCGTACTTTATTCAATTCATATCTGAACGGTTTGTGGATCCTTTATGTTGTTTTAATTTGTATATACTGCATTAGAGTCAGAGCAATAATGTCTAAGACAATTTATGCTAGCTGCGCACTGTGGTCAGGACTAGCGGATGCAATTCTATACTCCTCATATTGAATTCCCCTATCAGGTGTAGCCTAATCTTAAGATTTTGCCTTGTTTAGAAATTGACCAAAAAGTGAGTCACATGGATTTAGTCTTCACCATCCTTGAACTATCTTATTACATTAAATGCACGTCAAATGAATATTTGTTTTTTGTTGCAATAAGATGAAACACAAGTACACAATTTTGAAAATGTTAGGTCAATTTTTCTCTTCAGTCCCTTAAATCTCTGGGTCTTGCATCAACTAGTAAATGTGATTTCTGCTGCTTCTATCTAAAAACTGTGTTCATAAACTTACAATCTGTATATTATGCACCAGGTTGACAGATGGAATGAGCAAAGGGAAAATGGAACATTTCCAGGACCGCTTTAAGGTTGACCAAATTCAGTTGCTCCAGTTACATGTGGAAAGAGAAACTCCAACCCTTTATAGGATGTTCATTGTCACAACTTGTGTTAATAAGAAATTTTGGCTGTTAATTTAAAGTCCTTGTTTGAATAAGGATGTTTCTTATTTCTTATGAAGAAGAGCTAATCCTATTGTGTCGATTCTGCTTAAGCCTATGTCAACATCTTTTCCCACTTCAAATCGCGTTACCTGACTTCTCAATCCCCTGAGATACACTAATTTTACCAAAAGATAAAGAGGTCTGTGTGACAGAAATTTGTTTTTACCATAAAAAATTAAGTATAAATCCCACTAAATACTTTTGTCGATAACTTATGATTTTTTTGAACCATGATTTATCAATCACATTAGTTGAGATCCTGATTAAAAAACTAATTATTTAATGTTTTTTTTTTTCCTTAAGCTACACATTATATTTAAACTACACGTTATAATTAATAATATATATATATATATATATATATATATATATATATATATATATGTATTCATCTAAATGCCTTAAAATTAACATATGATTTTTCAGTTTCACGTTTTTACGTACAAAACTTAAATATAACATTTTTGCTATTTTCATATGTAATTTATTTTGCAATTAAGTAATGATGAAAATTGTCATCAACGAGTAAAATTTGAATTTGAATTAAAATAGAGACGTGAAAAACAGTTTTATATTGTTCTTTTTTATTTACATGAATTGAGGATAAATGGAAGGGTAGGCTCTGCCACAGGCTCGAGAGTGCAGAGAAGACGACGATGTCGAGTTTACACGGTTGTTCTTGTCCGAACCAGACAACTCTGAAACTCGCTTCAATTCCCACTTTCTCTTCCCCACCTTTCCTTTTCAAAACTCCAACCCTTTCTTTCCACACATCTCCATTGCCACGCCCGGTCAAGGCTCTCTCTTCTCCTGCCATCGTCCAGACATCTACTACCAAGGCCGCTCAAGATCAAGGTCAGTGTCAGGGTTTCTTCTCTTCCACTTTACCAACGAAACTGAATAATGAAAAACCAGTTGGTCTTGCAGGTGTGAAGCCTCAATGGAAGGCCGCGATAGACTTCAAGTGGATAAAGGATAACAAGGAAGCTGTTGTTGCTAACTTAAGGAACCGCAACTCTGACGCTGATTTGGACCTTGTTCTCCACCTTTATGACAAAACGTTTACACTTCAGAAGGTTACGATATGTTACTTTTCTCTATCTTTTTCCTCATTTTTTTAATAATCAATTCTGAATTTATTTAAATACAGTAATTTGCAATAATTTCTTGTTTTTTATTGATGAATGCCTGCTGTTTCTCAGTTTCATAGAGCAACAATAACGGGTGAATTTGTTAAGCTTATTTCGTGGATTGTATTTGGATAAAAATTCTCTTATTATGCTCACAAGAGGAATAAACCATCAATTTTGTCATCGAACTATTACTCTCTTTCTTGAGTGATTCCTAAAGGTATAAAATTGTTTAAGTAATCCGTGAAATATTGAATATTCAATTTAGTTCATCGTATGCTAACGGACTAACATGAAGGATTTTTTTTTTTTTAAAATTAAGAGATAACATAAGGCCTGTTCGGACAACATAAGCATTTACAGGAAACAAAAATAAGAAGGAAAAATTGAAATGAATTTTTTTAAATTTAGCTTATGCATACACTAATTCGTAGAAACTCTCTCGGATAACCTCTCTAAATTTTTATTTTTTTTAAACAAGTGTAAAAGCTGATTTTAGCTCATGCAGAAGTTAGTTTCAAATTATTTTTTTCTTTAATATGATTTCAAACACTTCCCATATTAGTTAGATAGTTTGTTTTACTTGGAACTATTTAGGCGAAGAGTAGTAGCCTAGGGTGTAATTGATGGTTCACTCTTAACTTTTATAGCACTCTCATCCAACTTCTGCAAAAAATGAGGTACATAGATGATTTTAGCTCATGGGAGAAATTCAACCCATTTTACCTTCTATTTTTTTCTCTTATAAGTCACATGAGACAAAAATATTTTAAGATTATGTTAAGTATAAGCAACCACCATCAATTAAATGCGTCAAAGATGGGTATTGGGCTAATGCCTTCAGCTCTTTGTTCTCAATGGCTTGGCTAATTTGTTTCTTACAGATAGCAGGAAGTTGAGAGAGTTCGAGGGGAAAGAAATGCAGTTGCTAGCAAGATGAAAGGAAAATTAGATCCTTCTGAGCGTCAAAGACTGATTGAGGAAGGTACTTTTGGTGCTATTTTTCACCCAACTGGCATTTTGGGAAAATTTCTTAAAACTGACACTTTTTGTATGCAGGGAAGAATTTGAAGGAGGGTCTTGCTGCTTTGGAAGAGGACCTGGTGGACCTTAATGATAAGCTTCAGCAGGAAGCGCAGTGTATACCTAACATGACACATCCTGATGTTCCAATAGGAGGGGAGGATTGTTCTACCATAAGGAAGATGGTATTTCAGTTATTACAATTTCCTTCCTTTTTTCTTCCGGAAGAAAAAGGTTGGTTGTTGATGAATTCATGCATCAACTTCTTTTCCTAAAATTGTTAATGTTAACATTTTAGGTTGGCAATTCTCCAAATTTCAGCTTTCCTGTCAAGGATCATCTCCAACTAGGGAAGGAGCTTGATCTATTTGATTTTGATGCTGCTGCAGAGGTATACCTGGATTAATTTGAGGCATTAAAGCATCATTTATTTGCCACTTAGCAAGTGCGGTGTCATCTAGAGCTATAGTGTAATAAGATGTGAAATGTTACATGACATGATATTGGAATTTATTAAATTAGTAGCACTCTTATTATTATTATTATTATTATTATCCAGGAAATGATTGCGTTCCTTGAGATACATATTCTCTTATGTGAATGTAGCCAAGCATAGCTTTGTGTATGACATGTAATTGACGAGGTCTTGAACTTTTCTAAAATTTAATGCATCATCTCTGTAGCTGTTCTTATATACCATATTAAGACCTCATTCTAAGTTCTAACTTTGAAAATAACTTTTTAATAATTAACTTTGATGGTAAATTATTCCTTTCTTTTTTATTTAATTGTCAGTTGACTTCAGTTTGTCTCGGATGTATCTAACATGCTGCTTCACAGGTCAGTGGGTCAAAGTTCTACTACCTGAAAAATGAAGCAGTTTTGTTAGAGATGGCTCTTTTAAATTGGACACTCTCTGAAGTGATGAAGAGAGGCTTTACTCCATTGACAACCCCTGAAATTGTGCGATCCTCTGTTGTTGAAAAATGTGGATTCCAACCGCGTGCGAATAATACCCAGGTTTGTGAGTGTGTATCACTTAGCAATATTTTCTTTCTTAACATCTGCTGTTAAACTATTCTTTAGCTTCATGATCATGGACATAAGATTCATAGCTACTGACAAACAATTTCGCCAACCATCTTATTTTTGCCAAACCTTGTAGTCCTTCCGTCTGCACCTTGTTTTATATTTTGATAGGGTTAAGAAACTAAACTACAAAGGTCATGTGACGCTAATCATTATAGGGCTTCCAATCTTGTTTCATGATGGCAAAGCATTGTATCATCATTTAATTTTTCCTAAAATTCCTTCTAGTTCCTGTTGTTAATTTGATGATTGAAGTTCAAAGCATCTGTTGATGTTTCTTGCCAACATTGAACAGATTTATTCCATCGATGACAGTGACCAATGCCTCATTGGCACTGCAGAGATTCCTGTTGGTGGTCTTCATATGGATTCTATACTCTCCGACTCATTGCTACCTTTAAAATATGTGGCATTTTCTCATTGTTTCCGTACTGAGGCTGGTGCTGCTGGTGCTGCAACAAGGTTTGAACAGTTTTGTTTTCTAGCTATTGATTTGACCATGGATTTGAATCCCCCTAATAATCAACCTTTTTAATTATATGGGGGAATATAAAGTATTAAATACTTTCTTTTGTTGCATATATTAGATTTGTCTTTTAACCAATTGAAATTTCTGTTCGTAATGTCTTATAGTACACACTAATGTTGATTTCTTTTTAAATATTTGGTTATTCTAACTGTTCGATCATAATTGTTACTGACTGCTGATCAGGGGTCTTTATCGAGTTCACCAGTTCAGCAAGGTTGAAATGTTTATTTTCTGCCGTCCTGAAGAGAGTGAACATTACCACCAAGAGCTGATTAAAATTGAAGAAGACCTCTTCTCATCCCTAGGATTGCATTTTAAGTGAGTGCTACTACTTTCACTTTTTAGTTAGTACACACTTTCTTCATTGTTTAACATGATTCCATTATTGTATTTATTATAATAACTAAGCTTCTGTGCAGAACTTTGGATATGGCCTCTGCAGATTTAGGTGCTCCAGCTTATCGTAAATTCGACGTGGAGGCGTGGATGCCTGGTTTAGAACGGTTTGGTGAGGTACTGGAATACCTCTTTCCTTTTCATTCTTGCGAGATATACATCCGTACACTTTTATGGCCCCTTGGGCTGAGATTCTTGGTTGAGTTGAGTGCAGTGCCTGTAGGCATGGTTAATCAAATTCAAAAGTTCAAGATAATGTTAAAATAGTTTTAACACAGACCTTATTATAATTTTAATATATCTGGAGTTTTTAATTTATTATACCTGTTGATATGACCTCTTTTATCACCTGTGGATACAATTCTTGTGCAAGTATTACCCTTGCTTGCACTAAGAGAAAACTGCATTTTTTGTTTCTTTTGTGAACAATGATTAGCAACTTCATGCTATTCCTTCATACAAAAATCATGTGGTTTTCAATATAATTTGTTGAGTCTTCATGACAGATCTCAAGCGCCTCAAATTGCACAGACTATCAGAGCCGTCGTCTGGGAATAAGGTATCGTCCTGCATCAGAAACACAAGTGTCAAGTGCAAAAAAGTCTAAAGGCAATCTTGCTCCACCACAGTTTGTTCACACATTAAATGCAACAGCTTGTGCAGTACCAAGGATGATTATATGTTTGCTTGAGAATTACCAACAAGAAGATGGATCTGTCCTTATCCCTGAGCCCTTGAGGCCCTTCATGGGTGGCCTTAGTGTCATAGCCAGAAAATCATTATGATTGGTCACAGCATGTTTCCATTTGGATGATGCTGTTTGCGGCATTGTACTATGGTGATAGATGAGTTGAAGCAATTTTCATTATACTGATATTTTTACAAATGATATTAATGATTTTTTAACCTGACAAACTAGATTTTGTATTGTTTTCCTTTTTCTTTTGGAATGTAACCACTCAAATCTGATAATGCAACGTGTATCTAATTTTTTTTAGTAAGAACAATAATGGGAGGGACATTATTGTTGATATTTTGCTGTGGCTTGCACATAAAATAGAGCTGCCATGGTATTGAAAATAATCCACCAAGTCCAAATACTGATGAAAAAAAAAAAAAATCACTTCTGTATTGTACAACATTGGCTCTCAAGATAGTCCTATATGGAAAAATCTCAGGTTGTACCATCAGGCAGGGTTATATAAAGAATACTAACAAGTCGGAAAAAATGGAGGTAATTCTTCTGCTCCCATGGAACCCTACCAAATATATTACCCTGTGACCCAAGAAGACTGCGTTGTTTTGTTAGAAAGAAAAGTTTGCATTCGGTATTGAAGGAACAACTTCTCAGCTTATTAAAAAAAGGATGGGAGTATTTTTGGAGATACAAGTATCTTCTGTTGTTATTTTTATAATTTGCATTTAAATGAGCCTAGTGAGTTGATGGACCGTACCCATTATTGATAATCCATTGTTAATATTAGTGAGCAATACTATTATGTTTCCAAAAGATTTTTTTTACTGCTTGTGAAATTTTAAGGGAGAGGAAGTGCCCACGTTGACGCACAAGTAATATATCTTTTTACATGTCCACCCTAAAGGATTTTACTTTATTTGACATCTAAATATGAATGGTCACGATAAGAATATTACAAAGTTAAGGCATCTCAGACACAAATGACTTTAAAATTCTATAATTTCCATTATATATATATATATATATATATATATATATATATATATTAATTATGAGTTATACAAATTAATCCGCAAAGTGGCAGGCCAAACTCATTTATTCCACATGTTAAACGGTCCACGTTCCTAACTTCCTGTATTTTTATAAATCTTTGATCAATCAATTAATTTCAGAATACGTATTTTAATATATAATTTTCACATTAATCCTCGTTCCAAAATTTAAAGGAAATAATCGAAGATTTTTATAAAAAGTAGAACAACAAAATATCCAAATGCATAAAGAGTTTTCAACCAAAGAATGACGTTGAGAGTATAAAAGGAGACAACGGTTGGTCCAGGTGGAGAAAATATTATATTGCTTCACTTCAGGACTAACAAAAGATGGAACTATCAAATATGTTGGATTAATTAAAAATTTGTAATTCCAATAATGAATTTCACAAAAAAAAATAAATATTTGCAGTGATGTGGATTTGAGTCCCTGGCCAAATCTAAAAAGCTTTACATAAACAAGCAATGCTGACTGAATGAATAAACGAATCATGCCTTCAAAAAACCCAATCACACTCAAGAATCTCATGTCAACCTCACCAACTTTGTATATCAAATCCTGCATCTTTCTTTACCTTTTCCTTTCTATTGTCGTACCTTATTTTTTTGTTACCAATATATACACCGTGCCAACAGCCTTTTGAACACCTTCCAGCTGATTCAGTGTTGAAACGTTGGTAAGGGGAAGATGCATATCAGCATGTGACATCCTTTCACCAATATAAATCTATTAAAGTAAAAATCTTTTGCTTTATCTGGCCTACCTATACCGAGAAGCGTTTATAGAGAGTGATTCTGTCCGACATAAACAATCAGGTAAAGGGTTTGCATAAAATGTTTCTTCTGAACGAAACCTGTCCAAGCCCTTTGTTCCGGAAACGGGACCTTTTCTCTTTCTAAAGAAGCCAAGCCTGCTCAACACAACATGAACTCATAACCAAATGTTTTGCTTTTTTATCAGCATTTATCAAAATTCATAACACCTCAAATATTTGATCTAATGTCATGAAAAAAGTGACGGTGACAAACAGACAAAACAAATCGACATTATATTATGAGAAGCTAGTGATCACAACTATAATTGACTCAAATATGCTCCTGGCATGTGTGTCTGCCAATATTACTTGGCCAATACAGCTTGAGGTAGATACAAATTACAATTAGCCTAGGCTGTGAAGCTAGTAAGGAATAAGTTCATTCAATAAAAATGAAAAACCATGATCATTAAAAGCATACATAAAACATTGAATACTGCAACTAATAGTAAATGTGTGTTTAAAAATGAAAGTGCCTAATAAAAGTGTAGAAATGTCAATAACAAAATCATTTGAGAAACTTCAAACTTTCTAACTTAAAATAAAAAAAATAAAAAAAATACAGAAACATAAATTAGTACCTGCCAAACAATCATAAACTTGCTTAACAAAAACATTAATGCATCTCCTATCACTTACCGTCTTTTGTGGAGATCGATAACTTTATTAGACAGTCTTTTTCCCTCGGTCATTGACCCATTTTGCAGTTTATCAAACAGACGAACAAGGGCTTTCCTGATAACGGATAAGTTAGGTCATTCAGAACAGATTCGTAATGATGTACATCTTGTGAAAGAGAGTCTCACCTGTCAGGAGATATTGTTCTTCCTCTCCCCAGAACACGACGATGGCCTTCAACAGCCTTCGCCATGTTTCCAGGGTAAGAATGTACAAACACGTCACTTTCAACCGAAACAATATAGTCCAGAGCAGCCATTTGAGACGCATGACTAGAAAAGTGTTCAAGCTCCCCAATGGATGCCAACTTTTCCTGAAATTAGTCATACGTAGGCTATCAACATGATATCAATGCCTTCTCAGCTTACGGCTATTACTATCTAGACATCTTGCCTTAAACTCAGCACTTGCCATAGGTAGAAAACATGACTGCACCTAAATGATTTAACAAAAGAAAACTTTGATAGAAAATATGGTTGCAGTTAAATGATTTAACTAAAACAAGAGCTGGATCAAAGCAAAATGTGATTAAACTTATCTATGTGATTAATTAATAGAGAATCTGGCGTGTGAGTAAAGCCCCTAATGCATTACAATAGCAGAGACACCTTGTCTTTGTCTTTCCTTATGCATAGGTTTTCTGTCATCAATAACTTAATGAAAATTTTAGGCCAATCTTGAAGAGAGTTTGAAAATACCAAGACTTTATCAAACTTAATTAAAAAAAAAAATCTGTTCAAAAGATGCTTTATCAAACTTTGCCAGCATAAAGCAACAATATATTTTATTAGGTTACCTTGCTCATTAACAGTGGATAGCGGGATCGCAAGTCAGTCATATGGAACTCACCCCCATATATCTCCCCAGCCGCAATATATATTGGAGTCTTTGATGGGTAACCAAGAGCAGTAAGAAAAATTCCAACTTCCTTTGGAGTCAAGGGGCAAAACCCTTTGGACCTCTCTTCTCTGGGATTAATGTATTTTCTTTTCCAGTAAGTAGTATTCTCTCTACAAATTTGGAGCACGATGGTAATTATCAAAACCTCATATGTCGGGGAAAGACAAGAAATTTCAACTAATCATTTTCACGCATCAATACCTGATACGCCTTAGCTCTTCAGACTCCGCCGTAGATAATCCATGTGTGCACCCACTAAATGCAAGCATGTCCTTCTCATAACGTAAATGTAATGAAATATAGGGGCCGAATGACCTCATCCTCTCCACCAATATCTAAAAGGATCCAAAAAGTATTTGAAAATGAACAAAAAAAAAAAAAATCCTAAAATAAAGCACAGAGAATGAGAAACCAATCAAGGAAGCTAATAAGAATCAAATAACGACTTATATACTTTTCCCATTTGTTCAATACGAGGAGAGAAACGAAGAGCTTCATAACAAGCACGGCAGCGAAGCTTCTGAATATCTGGTGGTAGATTGTTATTTGCTAAGCGAGAATCAGATTTGGAAGTTCGAATTACCTTTAGAGGATATAAAAAATAAGACGGTCATACAATGTTATTAAAGTAAATAAATGGATAAATGACATAGTTTTGTAAATACTATCAGATTTGAATCAGATTACATACATTGAATTTAGTCCACAAGGCAGCAATCTCTTTCTCGTAGTAATCCATACCAGACCAGCTTTTGAATTGCATGACCATTTTGGTTGCATTAACCAGTTTCTTGGGAAGCTTCTTAATGATCTTTATATCATTAGCTAGAGAACTAATAAACCACTCATCATCAAAGATATCCGAGAAATTGCTGCAGATCAAATAAAAGACTATAAAATCAAATTACGTAAAATCCAAAATGGAGAACTATAATAGAAAAATAGAAACACAAACCGAATTCAAAAGTTACCTAGTGTCATGCCAAAATGACTTTTTATCAAGTTCTGGAATTACAAGAGTAGCATTTATGATACGGGCTATAGCTACCATATCACATATCTGTAGGAGAGGAAACAAACTTTCAGGTTCTAGCATTACAGTGATAGAGAACATCCAACAACAATCAAATAAGATGTTCAACATGGAATAAGCTGAGTAGCTGACACTAAAACTAAAAGTTTCATAAGAGAGTTATTTAGAGAGAGAGAGAGAGAGAGAGAGAGAGAGAGAGAAAGAACTCATACCCCATTACGCATTTGGTTTAGCCCTCCATTTGTATGAACTGAAAGGTAACCACCTGAACTTGTAGGAGCTGGATAAACAGTTAACACTTCAATCAAGTACTTGAAAAATAAATCACACTCACAAATTGCTACACAGGTGCAAGTTTCTTACTTTTGTAATTAGGAGTAGGCTTTGTACAGGTTATAAACCCATAATTTGGTGGAGGCTTCCACAGTTTCTCGTAGTCTGACTCCTTACTTGAATCCTTCAACTACAAAACCAAAGGAGTGAAAACAAATGAAAAAGGTGCATGCTTTGAAGAATTTAAAATATATCTGACACCTCAACATAGCTGACAAGCACTAAAAGCTAAACAAAACAAGTCATTTGACCATACAATTTGATGAGATCGATAAAC